TCAATTATCCAAACGGTCACCAAAAATTTTCAGTGACCAAACGATCATTGAAAAGTTGACCGAAACGGTCACTTTATTTTAAAAAGTGACCGTTTTGGTCACTTTGTCGACGAGCTGCTTGTGGCCGAGCTGACGTGCCGCTCGGCCCGTTTGACGTTCGTATTCTCAAACTTAAATACCAACCAACCACTTTTTTTTTTTTTTTTTGATGGGTAGAAGTTTCATTCATAAAGGCAAAAAGCCTTAAGAAAGGATACAATAGTGCTTATCAATGAAAATTACATTTTCAATGACAAAAGGAACACTATGCCACCTAAGGACCATGTCTTCTAGAGACCATGCATGTCGCGCCAAAAAATGCGCTGCTTGATTGGTGAGTCTGTTGCAGTGATGGACGCTACATTTAGGAAAACGCTGCATTAATTCCTTTATTTCGGCCGCCTGAGATCGGATTGATGCAGAGGTTAAAACTGATTTATTGACTTCATTAACGAGGAATAAACAGTCACTCTCCACCAATAAATGAGATATGCCGAGATTAAGGCAAAGTTGTAGCCCCCTTACAAGTGCCGTAGCTTCAATGTGTTCAGGTTCGAGAAGTGAGTTTTCAGGCCGACTTGCAGCCAAAATTATTTCTCCTTCGTGATCACGTAAAATAATACCGAGTCCAGCTTTATTTGAATCAAAGAACAATGCGCCATCAGTATTGAGTTTTAATGCATTCGTAGGAGGTGCAGACCACCTATATTTTTGGAGAGGCACACCGGGAGTGACGTTAATAGTAAGGCCCGATTCAACAGGAGGTTTTTTAGCTAGTGCAGTAGCAATAATTTGTTGTGGTGAGAGGTGAAGCTGATCATGAACCATCTTGTTCCGACGGAACCAAAAACCCCAGGTAATGAGTAGAAATTCCGAGAGAGCATCCTTTGAAACTTTTGTTAATATATCAATAGCTGCTTGCATAAAACCTCCTAGATAAGCCTTAGTCTTTAACACTGGAAACCGATCGGTAAGTAATTGATAAATAGAAGGACAATGGAGTAGAACATGGCATAGATCTTCCATTGGGTAATTGCAAAAACAGCAATGAGGAGCAATAGGAACTCTTCGTCGGACCAGATTCTGTTTAGAAGGCAAGCTGCCTTGACAAGCTCTCCAAGCAAAGATCTTTACTTTTTGAGGAATTTTTAGCCGCCACATGGTATCCCAAAATTTCTTATTTTCAACAGCACGCGATGAAGTCCCAAAATCAGGAGCGAGGCAGTTTTTGAAAAATCTATATGCACTGCTAACAGTATAGGTTCCGGATTTGTCATGTTCCCACAGCCAGAAATCTTCTTCTCCTGAGTGGCTAGGATATAATTTCAAAATAGCCTCCACAAGTTTTGGATAGAATAGAGTTCGAAGCTTTGCCAAATTCCACCACCTTAAGTTATGATCAATCAAAGAGGAGACTGGACCTTCAAGTTGCTGACTATGATTTTGCTGTAAAACAGTCCCTAACTCCCGTCTTAGATCACCTATGCCAGGGATCCATTTATCATTCAAAATATGTATAGTGTTGCCATTTCCCACAACCCATCTCCCCCCTAGGACCAATAGATTTTTAGCCTCCCAGATTCCACGCCAAGCATAAGAGGGGTTACAACCAATAGATGCCTTTAAGATGTTCCCATGAGGAAAATAACGAGCCGAGAATATTTTATAAACCAAGCTATCAGTGTGGTGCAAGAGCCTCCAAGCTTGTTTACCTAGCATAGCCATATTAAAGATCTGAAACTCTTTAAAACCCATACCCTCGAAGGATTTCGATTTACACATAACATTCCAGGATTGCCAATGAATTTTCCTCTCTTCTTTCCATTGGCCCCACCAATATCTAGCCATCATCTTCTCAATTTCAGTGCATAATGTGGAGGGGAGTTTGAAGCAACTCATAGCATAGGAGGGAATTGCCAAAGCAACTGATTTGAGGAGAATTTCTCTGCCACCTTGGGAGAACATACTACTTTTCCATCCTTGCAACTTCAGCCAAACTTTATGTTTTATGTCCGAGAAAGCTCGAGTTTTTGATCGATCAACCATAGGTGGTAATCCAAGATATTTTTCATATTGTTGTTGAAAAACCGAAAATCGATCCTGAAATCTGTGTTACAACACAGCTGAAACCCGGCTGTAATCAAACTTTGAGAGCGAAGAAAGCAGGCAGCTGGACAGGCGAGTAGCAGAACTGAAGTGACTTGAGCAACTTGCTAAATAGTCGCACGAAATCAGCTTGAAGAAATGCAGAAACCCTCGAGGCGAGCAGGTAGAACTTAAGAACAAAGCTGAAAATTCTTGACCTGTAGCAAGTGGGCAACAATACAGGGCCCATGCTATGTAGCAGCACTCTTTACTTTGGCAGAGCCATGGAGGCTTGTAAAAGCATTCATTCGATGAATTGACACTTTGCCTTTAGGGATACATTTTTATTCTGGTTTAATACCACCAAAAAGGCCAATGAAAATCGAAATTCCTCAGCAATTCCGTCTTAAAAATCATAAATCTTGTACATATAAAACACTACTAAATGAAATTCCTAAAAAGCAAACAAATAATCGATATAACAAAAGAATTCAGGCACTAAAGCATGTACAACTAAAATATCAAATCTTCCCCCAAATAACATTGCAATGAGCTTCATCAATGGACAATATTTGTCAGGAATATCATTTCATGACTAAGTTCGTCTTGAAACATCTTCTTCAAGAGGTACCACATATGGTGTGCAAATGTGTCGTATAAATTTTCCATATGGACACGAGTTTCTTCAAGTTCATATCAGGTGGAAAGTTCACTAATCAGAAGTATACCCGAAATCATAGATGCCATCATTTCTTATGATCATAGCTCTTTTATCCTTGAGAAAATGAGTTGTTATTGGAGTTCTCCTGACAATCTAACTTATCCACAACTCAAACTCAACTTTCACGTTCTAGCCACCGAACTTCAATTACGTACCAAATAGATACTATCTGGTAATATAGTAGATGTCACAGCTAAGGTTATTAATTTGTGCTTTTGAATTCTATAGAATCCTATTCTCAGTTAGTGTAGAAATAAAAAACATAGAGAAAAAAGGGGCACGGGAGGATCTGGGGAAACTTGTGTACATGAATATGAAGCTGTTCTTCAAGGAGAAATACAGGATGAAAGAGAAGTCATTCTCTCGTCCTCCTCGAGATCTTCAGTGAGGGCAAACATATCCTTTCTTTCCACTTTGGATGCCAAATCTCCGGCTAGTATTATTCCCGTTCCAGTCGGATATATGATCATGTCCCCGTTTGGCCCCATTCTTCTTCTCATTTTTTTCTCTCTCTTATTTTCAACCGCACAATCTTCCATAAAATAATATTACCCGCAAATCAAAAACTTTTCATTCTTTTTTAACCACACATTTTTCAAAAAAACACTATTCCATCCATTAAAATTTGGGAAGAATGGGGGCCAAAACGGGAACATGATATCCTTCTCCTCATCATCACCAGTCTCATATGCATACCTGCACTTAAAATAAAATTAACAAAAATGATGTCATTCATAATGAGCATTAGCTGTTTCTTGTAAGCCACCGAAGTTTATGTATTTTTTAAATTCCGCAACATTCTTGAAAAAGGGTTAGTATTACAATCTATGGTTTGTTAAAAAAAAAAATATTGCAGTATTCATGTCCTTTTTCCTTTGATTCATATGACATTGGTCTGAATTATAACTTGCTACATTAGCAATATATCGGGTTACAATGAATGTTGTGCTGGTCTACTTGGATTTAATGCTTCAACGATCATTGATATCACGTTCGTATGAAATATTTGACAATTTAAACTAAAGATTCATCTTTAACAACTGTATGTCAGGTTTGGAGAAAACACTAATTGAAACAAGCCTGTTGACCTCCAAAAAGTGTCAACAGGTGTCGATCTAAGATGATGCCCACATGGACAAACTCCACAAGAGTTTGAAAGGAAACTGGATATTTGGCCACCAGTTATACATACGCAAGTATGCAAGAGATGTTTGTTTACCAACAGCAACTTGGGAGTTGAGAAGATAATGAGAGTAAATATTCATAGAGAGGAAACTGTAATACTTTGTTTATGTGTGTGAAAATCCATCATTTACAATGTTACAAAGGTTGTTATTTATAGGAATCAGACTGACGTGGTCACCGTTGAATCAAATCCATGTGGCTCCATATGCTAGACCGAAATGTCGCATCATCTTGTCTTACATTAATTACATTGACAAATACATTTTACTAGAGGCCAGTCGCCCTACACTCCTAGATTGACATTCCTGACATCTATTTAATGAGAACATCACATCAATCATTCCTAAACCTAAACATACACTTATCAAACCTACTCTAAAGAGCCTCGGTGTGAAGGAGTTCGGCTAAAAGGAAGAGAGCACTTCGATAGTAGACCTGGGACGGGAGTAGTGCCTCGGCCAAAAGGCAATTCTTGCTTCTTTCTTTATTCTAGATTGAATGCCATGAATGTGTGTGTGGTGCTTTCACGTGGCCCTATTGGAAACTTTACACGTGATCAATAACAATAGTCCCCCCAAATCTATATATGGTCATTTATGTAATACATAAAGTTCGCATTTCATTGGAAACTTTTTTGGGTAGGGGTAATAATCTCATAACAATATAATCTCCCAAGTCTAATTTGCAAATATTCATGTGAAAATTAGAGTTTGTGAATTAAACATGAATATATGCGTATTTCTAACTTGAAATTATTGCAATTTCCCAACAAAGCCACACCTTTCATCCACAAAATCTCAACATATCGATTGGTAAGTTTCAACCTTCTGAAAAGTCGTGGTCATTAGATGAAAGATCATTTCCTACGCATTCCAGTTTGCCATTTTAACTGCTCAAAAACTTCTGGCACTAGAGAGCGAAGTTTGAAGAATATATCGTGAGGTTGCTAAGCTCGGATTAATGAAAAAAATGTTCAATTAACTGAACCCCTTAGATTAAAAAAAAAATGTTAGTTTTTACAGAGCAGAAAGAATAACTATTTGATCAAAACAATATTATCACAGCCCACATGCGGTATTTTAAAAGAAAAAACAGCACACCGAGAGATATTAGATCATTATAATTCAAAAAGTCGCAAGATGAAAAAATTTACAGAATAAATTTCCAAAATTCTATGCCATGTTTTGCCTCTAAATTACATCCCAGATGATGTTCTGTTTATCCTTTGAGCACCCAGTTTCGGAGCAGCAGGTTTAGAGCCTCTGCCTCGCCCGGATAAGGGCTTCGATCCTGTTGTAGGTGGAGGTGCTGCAATTGAAGCCCATAGGTCTTCATCAGCTGATCCACCAGATTTCAGATTCATAGGCTTTGATGATGATTTCGGAACTGGGGCAGAGATAGCACCCCAAGGGTCATCGTCATCAGCTATGCTCGTTTTTGCTTTCGAAGGTTGTGACGAGGATTTTGGAGCAGGGTTGGCTGTTGAACCCCATAAGTCATTGTCATCATCTTTACTCGTCTTTAATGTGCTTTTTGTTCTTGAACTCGTAACTGAATCATAATGGCATGTCCAGTCAGATGAAGTTCAGAATAAAAATATCGCTAGCAAGAAAATGACATGAGTACAGGGAGGGAGGACTTGACATGCCACTCTTCCAGAAACTTTTGCACCATCTAGATTCTTTAGAATAATTATAGGAAAATGCTACGTGTACACCTCAAGGTGTACACGAGTTTCCACCCCCCTCACATGGAGGGGGGCCTAAGCATAATTTATGTACGTGGGCTCCCCTCCATGTGAGGGGGCGTGTAAATCATTGTGAACACCGCTATGTACACGTAGCATCACCCATAATTACAATACAGTTCCCTAATTGCCATGTCCTAATAGAAGTATCATTATTGCATGCAACTATTGTGTCAAATCTTCCCCAGGGCTGGGGGTTGGGGGTGATATCACAATGCAACATTTTTATGAGTTACACAAAAGCTTTCTTAAATATGTAAAATTTTAACGCAGTAAAGATGGGAAGGGAAGACAGTACCTTGTGGTTTTGGCTGTGAGACGGGCCGCTTTTGGGCAGCTTGGATATTTGCAAGAGCTGAAGGCAGGTTTGATGCTTCTAGTGGCTCAATGTCATCCCAACCATCTTTTTCACCTTCATCATCTACATGGATGCCATTTTCAAGTTCTCCCCATCCATCAGTTGATGAGGTAGGGGACACAGGTGCAGGTTGATCAGTTAAATCTGTTAGGGAATTATGGACTGCCGGTAGATGTGCACCATCCAACTCTATGATGTCAAGAAACAAAATCAGATACTAATAATTGGCAGGCGCATTTGCACAAGTGAACACTAGTGATTAGCTAGAAAAGTAGCACTCTTAACAAATTCAAGTATCCAGGTACGTATAAAAACAAAATAAAAGGGGTGAAATGTTCACCGGAGCTGGCATTGGAGATGGAAGAAGCAATAGGTGCAGTTGCACTCGTTGGAGCAAGAGCACTTGGCTCGGAAGGTTTGCCACCTTTCATAGTCAAAGAGCTCATGGCCCATCTGCATCAAAATTGTGAGAGAGTCAGCTTGAAATCTTTAACCACATAAAGTATAAAGGAATCAGATATATAAAATTTTAAAGTTTCACCGTATTAAGTAACCATATGATAAAGCAAGAAATAAGAAAGTACGTAACCAATTGAAACACTCAATACTTCACTCAATCATCAAAATACTTCTCTGTAGCTCAATGCCATGGGATCAGAAGCAATCCAAATTAGCATATAATAAGGCATCATAAATTGACATAACAAATACAAAGAAGTTAAAAAGACGTTCTCACACTGGAAAAAAAGGAACATTTGCAAACGATAGTTGCCTTGATCTTAGTATAAATGTATTTGTTAACAAATACAGACATGATTTTGATGAATTTTGCTTGGGCCAGAACATGGTTCATTTAAGCAAGGGACTCGTCAAAATAGAACTTATCTATTACTTTTGAATGCTATATAGCATAAAGTCATCATATTCACAAAAGGTAGCTCACAAATATTATATAAAGAGAAGGCTGTGATGTACCTAATACGTTTAAATGCAATTCAGATCCGTAACACGATAAAGATGATATAGCATGTGTTCATGTGCAAAAATTTATCAGCTTACACAATTCTTAACAGGT